TGGCCGTGTGTTTTGGGTCATTGTCATGCTGGAATACCCATCCACAACCCATTTCAATGCCCTGGCTGAGGGAAGGAGGTTCTCACCCAAGAATTGACGGTACATGGCCCCGTCCATCATCCCTTTGATGCAGTGAAGTTGTCCTGTCCCCTTAGCAGAAAAACACCCCCAAAGCATAATGTTTCCACCTCCATGTTTGACGGTGGGGATGGTGTTCTTGGGGTCATAGGCAGCATTCCTCCTCCTCCAAACACAGCGAGTTGAGTTGATGCCAAAGAGCTCAATTTTGGTCTCATCTGACCACAACACTTTCACCCAGTTCTCCTCTGAATCATTCAGATGTTCATTGGCAAACTTCAAACGGCCCTGTATATGTGCTTTCTTGAGCAGGGGGACCTTGCGGGCACTGCAGGATTTCAGTCCTTCACGGCGTAGTGTGTTACCAATTGTTTTCTTGGTGACTATGTTCCCAGCTGCCTTGAGATCATTGACAAGATCCTCCCATGTAGTTCTGGGCTGATTCCTCACCGTTCTGATGATCATTGCAACTCCACGAGGTGAGATCTTGCATGGAGCCCCAGGCCGAGGGAGATTGACAGTTATTTTGTGTTTCTTCCATTTGCGAATAATCGCACAAATTGTTGTCACCTTCTTACCAAGCTGCTTGGCGATGGTCTTGTAGCCCATTCCAGCCTTGTGTAGGTCTACAATCTTGTCCCTGACATCCTTGCAGACCTCTTTGGTCTTGGCCATGGTGGAGAGTTTGGAATCTGATTGATTGATTGCTTCTGTGGACAGGTGTCTTTTATACAGGTAACAAGCTGAGATTAGGAGCACTCCCTTTTAGAGTGTGCTCCTAATCTCAGCACGTTACCTGTATAAAAGACACCTGGGAGCCAGAAATCTTTCTGATTGAGAGGGGGTCAAATACTTATTTCCCTCATTAAAATGTAAATTTATTTATAACATTTTTGACATGCGTTTTTCTGGATTTTTTTGTTGTTATTCTGTCTCTCACTGTTCAAATAAACCTACCATTAAAATTATAGACTGATCATTTCTTTGTCAGTGGGCAAACGTACACAATCAGCAGGGGATCAAATACTTTTTTTCCCTCACTGTATGTTTATTATAGGCATATTTTCTCTATCAAATATATGACTGTAATTTACTTTTAACAAACATGACCATAAACTAGGGGTATACTCCAGGAAGCAAAGGAACAGAAAACTATTATCTCCCCGGAAAGGTGAGTGCCTTGTCATCACTGAAGCTCTCTGACCCAGGAAGTGTCAGTCATCTGTGTAGAATCCAGAGGGAGAAGTTCCCAATGCCCCAGGGCACTTACTGTAAACTGGTAATGATGACATCTGTGTGTGTGAGAGTAGGCTTTACACTCAAAGTAGGCTGACTGGCTTGCGTGATAGTTACTTAAAGTATTTAACTTCAAAATAGTGAACTGTCCTGTCACTTAAATGTTTTGCTATTTGTCAAAGCTGGTTCCTGTCCAATTTAAGCTCTGCATACGTCTTCCACTCTCTTGAGTGCATTTCAGTGGGATCTGAAACCAATGCAAATTCATAACTGGTATTGAGATCATAACTTACAGCTCTTGTGTTTCTTTGTTGTCATCATGTCACATTCTCATCATGAACCGTATAGTATCATAATATAAGGTAGTGCTGGTCACCAACCATTTCCCAGAACTAGGCACCCACAAGGTGTGCATGTTTTTGCTTGAGTACAGCATTAGCACAGCTGATTCAACTAATCTACAAGACTTTGATTAGCTGAGGAGGCATCCAGTTGCAGAATAGATAGGTGTCCAATTTCACTAGTCTTTTATTGGGTCAGAGACAATTGATGGCAATGAGAGTAAAGGAAAACTCCTACCATCTGTTTTCAAGTGGTCAGTGTCTCATGTTATTTTAAGGAATATGTTCAGATGTGTTCTGTTCTCTTTAAAGGCCCAGTGCAGTCGAAAATGTTATTTTCCTGCATTTTATATATATTTCCACACTATAGTTGGAATAATACTGTGAACTTGTGAACATTTTGATAATGCCCTTTTAGTGTAAGAGCTGTTTCAAAAGACAGCCTGAAATTTCAGCTTGTTTTGGGGGGATGGAGTTTTGGCCTGCCTGGTGAATCCGGCCTACTAGGCAGTAAAGGAGTTAATAGACCAATAAGAGAGTTCCAAACCTCTCTGACAATACCAGCTAGATTTCAGTTTTCCCCTCCCCACTCAGACAACTCCCAGACAGTCCTAGTAAAATTATTGCTTGAGAGAATGCTCTTTTTGACCATTTTAATTGAAAACAATCACAGTAAGGTACTTAATTGTTACCCAGAAATGATTTTATATTGAGATAAAAACGGCTGCATTGGACCTTTACAGTAATGTTTTATAGACACAGTTAAAATGCAAACAGGAAGACCATAGATGAGTTGCATGAGCAAATCAGTATTTTTTTATTCAATTTTTTTTATATATAATTCATAACAGCAAGAGTCAATTATGGCAACAATAAAATCAGCATAAAACAAATCTGAAGACAGAGTAGTACATTATTCTGTAGCAACTATAAGCAAAACATTTAAGTGTTCACACATAATAAGCAGTCAAGCATGTGTGCCCCCAGCAGGGAAGAAAGACCTTGGTTTAAGCTGAGAGACAGTGAAATCTGCCCACGCAGCTCTGGTTGGTTTAGAGAAAGTGATGCTTTGGTTCCATAGCACTTATACAGCGACCTCGAGTCAGAAACAGGATGACCTTGACTGAAGACGGTTACATTCATTTGAAATAGTATTTACCTATACATTTGGTATGGTGGGGAACTTCACCTGCTGAGTGCACAGTTATCTGGTAGCATTAGCTGTGTCCTGTGAGTCCATGTTGACTTGAGTAATCTTACGGTGATTAGAGAATATTTCTGGGGTGGTTTTGTGTTAACGTTACATTTTATTCTTGAGATCTCATGGAGTTTCTTGGTAAAAAATGTATATCACAAGTGCAAGTGTTCGATTACTTGTCTAAAGTCTTATTTTCCCCTTCTCCCCAAATGTAGAGGTTATTTTTGTAAATTGAAAATATTAACTTTCCTTATCTACTTATAGATTGTTTACATTTGTGTTCTTTTTACATGCAGTCATATCAAACTAAAATATGAAATGGTTTCTAATATATATTTTTGTAGTTATTGTACCGTAGGCCCAGGCATGAATGGCCTGGTCCAAGATTTGAAATGTGGACAATATATTATATTTGTTTTATGTCATATACTACAAGGGGAGTGAGTGGGAGTGAACGTGGGGGTTATGCACCTTGAGGATTTCCTGGCAAACTACTAGCCACTGACAAAATAAGCTAAAAAACACATAGCTTTTTCTGAATGCATTGGCATAGAAACTGGCACCATTTTCTTCTTTTTGCAAGCAAATTTGTTTAGCTGGTCTTTCCGTTTCGATTTTTTTAAATTAACCTAAAAAAATTACTTATCATTATAGAATTTTTTATTCAAAATAATATCTCAATATGATACATGTTTTTTTTCTCTGTTCATTGACTATGTACAGAAGTGCAAAAAGTCAACCTTCGTCCCTTAGAGTTCGTTCATCTGCAGCATTACCGACCTTCCCAATTCAGCAAAGTCCTCTACCTCACCGCTACTCTCACTATTCACCCAACTCCAGAGACCCATCAATCTCACTGCTCATTTTGCCCTGACATTCAGGGCAATCTTAAGAATTATTAAAACAATATATATATTTTTGAATGGATACAGTAGAAAATTACTTTTTTTCCCCTTCTCTAAACATGGACAATCTACATTTCGACACAATATATTTTCAAACAAGATCTCGACTTGTTACAAGGAAAAAATTTAGCTAGTTAAAACATTAGTTTTCAGCCAGAGTTGATGCCTCGGCAACACACCAACTGATGGCGTTCCTTGTATCAATATCAAAAGGTCTTTGATCAACTTTTTTTTTTAATGATGAACCTCTTCAACTAAAAAGAGACATCTAGCTACATGAATGATGTGAATACTTATTCTGACTCCACACATTATTATTAATCATTAGTATGGTTTGAAAATCCAAATCTCTAAATTTACAACGGCAATATAACAATGTTGTCAAGTAGAATATAATAAGGCAGAAATCTACAAACTAAATATTCAAATAGATTAAAATCCTTAAGTAATACATAACACATGAGTTCAATTAAATTTAAGAGAGTAAATTGTTACTTGAGAAAAAAACTAAACCAAAAACTTTATAAGGTGTATGTATGTGTATGGACTATAATATATAATTGGTGTTCATTGCCTGTATTGTGATTGAAAGTACATTTGATTGGGATGCAACCCAGTCATGTAATCGAAGGCTTCAATAGAAGTACATTACAATCAGTAAAGAGATATTACACCTCAGTCAAAACAGAAAAACAACAAAACAGAATCACAGAACATAATGATGTGAAAACAAGGGTTTTGAAATGAAATCTCTGCTCCCCCAATTCTGTGTTAAACCTTCCTGAATTTGGCCATATACTTCAATAACTCTTCGTGCATGAGCAGAACTGTGCTTTGGTATCCTGAATCAGATAAAATCAGATAGAAAAGTGAGAGCCTTTTTCCTTCTATTTGATAAATTCACATCAAATTAGTGATTTGTTGTATTACCTCAATTGAAGTGATATTTGCCTATTGAGGGGTAATAGGGTTGGGGGAGCACAAAAACACTCAACCAAGTGCATATCTTCTTATGACCTAATCTGACTTTCCTTTTTTAACAACACGTGGTTTGTAGACACACTTTCAGAGTCCCTCCACCTTTAACGAAAATATCCACTCAAAAACTATATTTTGGTATAATACCAAAATATAGTTTTTGAGTGGATTTTTCCTTTAAGGTTGGGGACAAGGAAATGAGACCTCATGGAGAGCTAGTACGCCCCACATCACTTCAACAGGCGTTAGAGTCTACTGACTTACAACTCCCCCAGTCACTATGAGCTCCAAGTCATACATCACCCCATCTGATAAATACAACAATAAAGCAAAAACAGAAAGGCAAAACAAAACCACATTGATAAAAAGAGAGAAGGCACCTCTATTAAAAATAATAATAATTGCAACAGAGATCAAAGGCTGGAGAGGAACCCATTCCTAATATCAACCAAAAATGTAATGGCACAATATATATATAAAGAAAATACACAATGGAGAAATTATGTAAAAAACAAAACTCGAGCCATAAAAACACATATCTTAGGTAAACAGAATAACACTGCTGAAATAACACTCTGGTTTGGGATGGCCTCTATGGCACACATTAGGTGGTTAAAGCTAGCATGGCTGTGCTTTCAAAGGTACACAGGTGTGTTTCTTACCCAGAACATTCATATGTCCCTGACCCTCATTTTATAATCTAGCTTCACTAGAAGCCTTATTAAAAACAGAATACTGTACATGCTAAATATGTGTTGTGCCTTTCTGATTTCAATTCAAATTCAAGGTGCACGTTTGCAATTTTTTTGTAACCATGAAAACAAATCTATTATTTTAAAACCAAAACAAAGCAAATAAAAAATTATGTTTTGGTCTACCGACGTACCAACGCGGTATTCTGTACGTTAGACGCCACAACACCTCGCTCTCAGCCTCGTGTGTGCAAAATAAAATATTTGAATTTGAGTGCCATGGTTTTTGTGTTTGAACACACAGGTGTATTGTGAATGTACTCAGTGTCTGTCTGTCAGCATGGATAGACAGACACTCATCTTCTCAGCTGGGTGTTGACTTGGAGGACAAGGAGGTGTGTGTGTGTATGTGTGTGTCATGGCATCGACTGGGCACACCGATGTTGGCATGTGTGACAAGAACAGCATTACGGAGAGACTGAGAGATGATGACCGATGCTCCTCCTGTCCATTGCTTGACATTCTGAACATTATATACATAAAGGCTGAACTCTTTAGGCTTGTACAGTGCCAGCACACAGTCATTTGATCTGCAAAACAAGAGACGAGGAATTACATTTAAAAAAAAGTTCTAAAAGTTATTTTCAAATGTAGCTCATCTTCCAGGATCTTATTTTTGTTCGCTGAAAGGTTTCTTAATTCGGCAATCTGCAGTTCAATCAATAACCTTGCGGCCACCCTGCCACTGCTTTGGTAAAAAGCTGAAAGATGTGGCTAGAGAAATGTAACCACTCTCAAATTCATAGACAGAGCTCTGGATGTAAGGACTGACCATCCATGACATCAACATTTTTTTGAGGCTATACAGTGTTTGTTTATGTTATTACCATCGAGGACCTCTTTGGAAACAAGTGTTTCAATTAATACTTTCAAGTACTATCCTCTGGGAATACAATGTACATCTTGCTGTCTAATGTTTTTACCCAAACAAATACAAATTAATTCAATGTTTGCATTTACATTGTTTACAAACATTTGAGTAAAACAAGCTTATATTTTGGGTTCTGATGGGGTACAAGAGTTAAACTAAGCTCATGAGGCATCTATAAGTTATATTCTTCAAGAATCAATTAGTATATATTCATTTCCAAAAATGTATGATTGCCAATTCCCCTTTTAAATGTCTAAAAATACAACAAATGCACTAGTTGCACTCAGATATTCTTGGTGTGGCTGGAAGTGAAACATACTGTAAAGAAATAGAAACTCACTGTTCTTGACTCGAACTACATTTGAGTCAGATACTTGTGACTACTCAGATGATCGGCAGAAATTATTGGAATCTGGGGATGGAGACAGAGCAGAGAAATCAAACACATCAAACATCTTACGCATATCATCGGACATACACTAGCCTCACTACCACACATCAGCAGTTTTAACCACATTTCTGAGTTCTTTACTGAAAAGGAGATGAAGATTTGACAGAATGTGGTTACAATGTTGCATAGATAAAACAAAGCATTTTATAGGATCACTGAAACCTGCTAATCAACGGTCAAGTGCAATTTTTGGAAGGGTTAGCAAGGGGAGGGTAGAGGAAGGGGGTGGGAGGAAGGAAAGAAAATGTCAGTCACTAGTGAGGTGTCTCCCCATGCAAACTCAAGTCCTCCAGCTTGTTGACCTGCACCCAGGGGTTGGAACTGAAATTATTTTCCAATTGTTTCGTAATTGTATTATTTCCAACCTGCAAAATAAAGTTCTGAACCGGTTCGAACCTAAAAAAATTACCAGTTTATATAGTTCCTTTCTGTTCCTTTTTAAACCTCTGAAATTGTTTTTTTTTACATTAAATTAAATGAGGATAGAGCAGTATGGAGCAGGCAAGCTATAGTTGTTTACATCCACGATGGACAGACAAGTGTAGGGCGCGAGATGCGACTTAAATTTTGCAGGTGGGGAGAGAGCGAGACAGGGTGGAGGAGAAGGCTTGGCTTGAAGCTCTGGGCATATTGTTATGACATGCATTATCTGAATTAGGATCACAGAACTATACCTACGGAAGAGCGGCTTCTATGGAAAATCTTTGAATGTCTTTGAACTTCCGAGAGTTGTCTTAACGTTGGACCAGAGCTAGCTAGTTATCTAGCTAACAAGCTTGTGTGTGCAGAGTGGCACCAGAATTAAAAACACGTCTTTTATACCTTTTTATAGTTAATAAATCCAATGTGAAACGTAATAACTATAGTATTGAAAAAGTTAATACATTTTTCTCTAATAAAAAATCTCTCCTTAATTTCTGAATCACGCTTGTAATGTCAGTAGGCTACAGTAGCCTAAGCTTCGGAGGGGGAGGGGCAGGTTGCCTACATGCACACACACTGGCAAATATTTTCAGCTGGCAGGCAGACACTGGAATAAGTTTCTGAGTGACAGAGTGAGGGCTTTGCATAGCGTTTTTTTGTGTGACTGAAAATTATTCCTGGAACGTAACATAATGTTATTAACCGGTTCCCATGCTTTTAAAATAACGGTTTTGTTCCGGAACAGTATAGATCACTTTCGTTCCCGGTTCTGATTCTGTTCCTTGAACCGGTTCCTCTTTAGAAAATACTTTTAAAACATTTGGGCACTACAAAAATGATGTGCAGTTAGTTAAGCATAATTTTTTTCCCCTTGGGATAATAAAGTTTCAACTAATGTATTTAACTTTAAGGGTTGTTGCACTCCCATTACATTATAGGTAAAAATATGCTTATATTTCACTATGTACATGTATTCTTTCCCTTGTCCTATTTGACCACATACAGTAGGGTCCGAAATTATTGACACCCTTGATAAAGATGAGCAAAAATTGTTGTATAAAATAAATAATTGAAATACTGAGCTATATTGTATAATTTTTGGGGGGGTAATTATATTATTTTATACTTATAAAATTGCTCAGAGAAAGAGATTTTGTTTAACAAGTAATAAAAAATAGGTAGGGGTCAAAATTATTGACAACCCTGTTTTCAATACCTTTCAACACCTCACCTTGAGATGATAACGACACTGAGTTTTTTTTCTAAAATGTTGAAGAACACATTGGGAGGGATCTTAGAACATTCTTCAATACAGAATCCTCCATCAGATCCTTGATATAATTTGCCTGCGTTTATGGACTGCCCTATTCAATTCAAACCACAGGTTTTCAATGGGTTTCAAGTCCGGAGACTGAGATGGCAATTGCAAAATGTGGATTTTGATGTGTGCTTGGGGTTATTGTCTTGCTAGAAGAGCCAAGTTTCAGCCTCCTGGCAGAGGCATCCAGGTTTTTGGCTAAAATATCCTGGTACTTGGTAAAGTTCATGATGCCGTTGACCTTAACAAGGGCCCCAGGACCAGTGGAAACAAAATACCCCCATAACATCAAAGATCTACCACCATATTTTACAGTAGGTATGGGGTTCTTTTCTGCTCATGCATTCTAATTTCAACGCCAAACCCACCAGTGGTGTGCGTGGCCATTGAGCTCTATTTTCATGTCCAATGTAAAGGCCTGGAGTTTGCTAAACGGCATTGGCACTTGGATTGGAACCGGTGCTTTGGTCAGATGACATGAAAATAGAGCTCTTTGACATCTTTATCAAGGGTGTCAATAATTTCTGACCCCACTGTATTCTCCTCACTCAAGGGCCTAAGAATGTAAGCAGCAGAGTCCTCGGACACTGTAATAGCATTGACTGAATGTAGCACAGCTATACCCTACGTAAGCAGCAGCAGAAAAAACATAAGCCGAGCACCAAATGGCCCAGATAGCAACTGCTGCACCTACTGCGCAAAACGCTTGACAAAAATAAGGAAAACTACCTCATACATACCAATTGCATGTATTCGTTGGTAGTCAACTTTGATAAGGAAGAGTCCTCAAAATGAGAAAGGACAAAAATCAAGGTTAAAATTACGTCAAACATCAACGACATATAGTAAATGTCTCCCCAGAATGACAAGTTAATGACATATATAACTTGTTTAATAACTACATTGAAAGTTGACCATTAACATGATACATAGATGTACTGTTCTTATAACCTTTCGTTAAATGGTTAAATCTAATACTCAACAACCAGTGAGGCCAACAAGAGGGAGACTCTGTCTCCCAACCCATCCCTAGCAGACAGAGAAGCACCTACAGAACCTCCATGTGCACTGTGAGTGAAAAGCAGATATATATATATATATATATATATATATATATATATATATATATATATATATATATATATATATATATATATATATATATATATATGTATATATATATATATGTACACAGTACCAGTCAAAAGTATGGACACACTTACTCATTCTAGGGTTTTTCTTTATTTGTACTATTTTCTACATTGTAGAATAATAGTGAAGAGATCAAAACTACGAAATAACACATATGGAATCATGTAGTAACCAAAAAGGTGTTAAACAAATCAAAATATATTTTATATTTTATATTCTTCAAAGTAGCCACCCTTTGCCTTGATGACGGCTTCGCACACTCTTGGCATTCTCTCAATCAGCTTTTCCAACAGTCTTGAAGGAGTTCCCACATATGTTGAGCACTTGTTGGCTGCTTTTCCTTCACTCTGCAGTCCAACTCATCCCAAACCATCTCAATTGGGTTGAGGTTTGGGTGATTGTGGAGACCAGGTCATCTGATGCAGCACTCCATCACTCTCCTTCTTGGTCCAATAGCCCTTACACAGCCTGGAGGTGTGTTGGGTCATTGTCCTGTTGAAAAACAAATGATAGTCCCACTAACCGCAAACCAGATGGGACGGGGTATCGCTGCAGAATGCTGTGGTAGCCATGCTGATTAAGTGTGCCTTGAATTCTAAATAAATCACAGACAGTGTCACCAGCAAAGCACCCCCACACCATCACACCTCCTCCTCTGTGCTTCACGGTGGGAACCACACATGCACAGATCATCCGTTCACCTACTCTGTGTCTCACAACGACATGGCGGTTGGAACCAAAAATCTCAAATCAGACCAAAGGACAGATTTCCACCGGTCTAATGTCCATTGCTCGTGTTTCTTGGCCAAAGTAAGTCTCTTCTTCTTATTGGTGTCCTTTAGTAGTGGTTTCTTTGCAGCAATTTGACCATGAAGGCCTGATTAATGCAGACTCCTCTGAACAGTTGATGTTGAGATGTGTCTGTTACTTGAACTCTGTGAAGCATTTATTTGGGCTGCAATCTGAGGCTGGTAACTCTAATGAACTTATCCTCTGCAGCAGAGGTAACTCTGGGTCTTCCATTCCTGTGGCGGTCCTCATGAGAGCCAGTTTCATTATAGCGCTTGATGTTTTTTGCGACTGCACTTGAAGTTCTTGACATTTTCCATATTGACTGATCTTCATGTCTTAAAGTAATGATGGACTGTCATTTCTCTTTGCTTATTTGAGCTGGTCTTTTACCAAATAGGGCTATCTTCTGTATACCACCCCTACCTTGTCACAACACAACTGATTGGCTCAAACGCATTAAGAAGGAAATAAATTCCACAAATTAACTTTTAACAAGGCACACCTGTTAATTTAAATGAATTCCAGGTGACTACCTCATGAAGCTGGTTGAGAGAATGCTAAGAGTGTGCAAAGCTGTCATCAAGGCAAAGGGTGGCTACTTTGAAGAATCTCAAATATAAAATATATTTTGATTTGTTTAACACTTTTTTTGTTAGTACATGATTCCATATGTGTTATTTCATAGTTTTGATGTCTTCCTTATTGTTCTACAATGTAGAAAATAGTAAAAAAATAATAAAGAAAAACCCTGGAATGAGTAGGTGTGTCCAAACTTTTGACTGGTACTGTATATATGAGAGAGAGAGAGAGAGAGAGAGAGAGAGAGAGAGAGAGAGAGAGAGAGAGAGAGAGAGAGAGAGAGAGAGAGAGAGAGAGAGAGAGAGAGAGAGAGAGAGAGAGAGAGAGAGAGAGAGAGAGAGAGAGAGAGAGAGAGAGAGAGAGAGAGAGAGAGAGAGAGAGAGAGAGAGAGCAGTAGAGGGCAGTAGAGGGCAGTAGAGGGCAGTAGAGGAGCAAACCTGATTGGCTGAGGCGGTTGCGAAGGGAACGCTTGTGGCAGATGTGGTGGCTGCAGACGCTTGCGCACCACCGTGCATCATAGGTACTTTTGTCAAAAGGGAAAATCAGATAAGCAAAAACCCATAGAAGAGGAGTAGAGTGTGTCCAATTGGGCACGAGGCAAACGTGAGGGACAGGTGAGGGGGAAGGGGGGCAGGGGGGCAGGGGGGCAAGGGCATGATTCTAATTCAATAACTCACTCCCTTTCTCTCTGCCCTCGATGATACATACTTGAAGATCTGAGAGGATTGGATACGTGTAAGCAATATGATGCAGAAAACACCTAGCCTAGAAGAAGGTTGGGGTGGCAGTAACCATATTGCTTAAACACCTCCAGTCCTTTCTGATCTGAGAAGGGAAAGACACGAGGCACAGGAGAAGGGAGCGAGTTAACTGATTGGAATCCAGCCATGGGTGTAAAGGGGATAGGTTTTCAGATTGGTACATCTGTGGATGGCATATTGAGGTTATACCAGACAAAAGCGGTATAGAGTCTAAAGTAACATGTTTGGTAGTACACCTGAAACAGAATAAAACTTACATTAAAACATACACTGAGTGCACAAAACATTAGGAACACCTGCTCTTGCCATGACATAGACTGACCAGGTCAATCCAGGTGAAAGCTACTGTATGATCCCTTATTGATGTCACCTGTTAAATCCACTTCAATCAGTGTAGATGAAGGGGAGGAGACAGGTTAAAGAAGGATTTTTAAGCCTTGAGACAATTGAGACATGGATTGTGTATGTGTGCCATTCAGAGGGTGAATGGGCAAGACAAAATATGCTTTTGAACGGGGTATGGTAGTAGGTGCCAGGCGCACCAATTTGAGTGTTAAGAACTGCAACGTTGCAGGCTTTTTAATGCTCAACAGTTTCCTGTGTGTATCAAGAATGGTCCACCACCACCCAAAGGACATCCAGCCAACTTGACACAACTGTGAGAAGCATTGGAGTCAACATGGGCCAGCATCCCTGTGGAAAGCTTTCGACACCTTGTAGTCCGTGTGCCGACGAATTGAGGTTCCTAATGTTTTTCACACCCAGTGTATATCTCCAGTATTACAATTTATAGTTATGACTAAACACAGTATTATTGCCATCTTTTTACAAAGGAAATGTGCAAATGAGTAGATATTATATGCCACAACCAACCCTGTGACTCTGTCAAAGCAAAGGCAGATCCAACTACATGTAGATATGACCATATTGATGATTATTGAATGGAGGGAAATGAAAACTATTAGCCTGATCCCAGATCTGTTTGTACTGTCTTGCTAACTCCTATGGTTATTGAGTGCTGCTGTCTTGCCAACTCAATTTGTCATTGAGTGCTGCTGTCTTGCCAACTCCTATGGTTATTGAGTGCTGCTGTCTTGCCAACTCCTATGGTTATTGAGTGCTGCTGTCTTGCCAACTCCTATGGTTATTGAGTGCTGCTGTCTTGCCAACTCCTATGGTCACTCTCGTGACAATGACCCTAGTAGTTGACTAGACAGCACAAACAAATTGGGAATCATGCTATAAAATGATATGGGTTCCCTCAGATGTGATGGTTAGATAAATTGACGTCACTTGCAAGGCTGAAAGCTAATTGGTGGAGAAGGAAAGCTGGAACCTACCGGCGGTGGGGGTCATGCAGAATATTGAGCCTGCCCAAATGCACATCATGCAGTGCAACAGGAAGTGTGCAACAGGAAGTGGATTGGAAAAGGGGGAGAGAAATCAAAACAGCCCGTCACAAGGTTCGTTAGAATGAAGGAAGAGATCAGGTTAATTAATTAACTAGACAGCATTCAGTAACACAGTAAGTGGTCATCAGTGGAAATACCGGCGTGCTGACCAGGGTTGGGGTCAATTCCATTCAAATTCCAGTCAATTCAGAATGTAAACCTAATTCCAATTCCAATTCAACACGTTTGTCATTGAAAACCATAGAAGGGAATTGGAATTGGAATTTCAGTGTACTTCCTAAATTGACTGGAATTTAAATGGAATTGACCCCAACCCTGGTGCTGACCAAACTAGACCAAACTAGCCAATAAGGAGAATCAGGCAGAGAGTCAATACAGATCAGATAAAAAACAGGCACTTTTTTCTGAGGTGTCATGGATATTAATGTGCAATAAACAGTGATAATAATAGTAATAGCAATCATCAATCAATTAATAGAAATAGTAATAGTAAAAGTCATTATAATATTCATAATAGTGACACATAGCATACACACACGCTCAAGACAGAATCGAAAAAGGGTAGGCGTTGAATATGGAAGCAGGACATATATTATGTTGCCAAACAGACGCATGGGGTCAGAAAGAACAAAACTTCCCAATGCAGTCTCCATCCGACAAAATACACAGCCCCCAACCCAGACCAAAGCACATTACCATTACATTGCCTGAACACCTTCACCACTTTGAGATTTAGATGGCGGCGTGGAGCCTTTAACATTGTTATAACATTGTTTGCACTGTTCACCTTCTATGTATTGTAACTCTATGGCTGAGCTTTAACTACCTTCAATGTCCAGGCAGGTCTACTCGTTCTAGTTCTAAGTATGAAAGAGACCATATGAAACAGCGTAGGAGCCCTGGGAGCCATACCTGAGGGGAGGAAGGCAGCCTGCTGCTGAAACTGCATGTTGGCCAGGGCGTGTTGGTACTGGAGCATGCCCGTGTTGAACATGGCAGAAGCCCCATTAGGCTTCTCCAGGGCTGCCCGCTTGGGCATGGGTGGCATGACACTATGGGGGATCCCCTGCCCAGCCCCAATGGAGGGAGGGAAAGAGGGACGGAGAGAGAGAGAGAGAGAGAGAGAGAGAGAGAGAGAGAGAGAGAGAGAGAGAGAGAGAGAGAGAGAGAGAGAGAGAGAGAGAGAGAGAGAGAGGAGAAACAAACAAGAGAGAGAATGAGAGAGAAAGAGGTGCGTGAGGGAGGCGTGAGAGAGAGGGTGTGTTGGAGGTAAAAACGGGAAAGAAAACAAAAAAGAGAATTGTCGTTAAGTTAGAGGATAAAAGAACATCACAACAACAACGTGTAACCGTGTGTAACACCAGCAAGCAAGCAGCAGTCTACATAATTACTACACAAGCAAGAGCATGGTGTTAACTGGAGCTACATACTCTATAAAGCATTCATATCCATGATAAAATCAGTTTCTAAGCTTAATATGGAGGATATACCGTATAAATACACCTAAGGCTGACTTAATGCCACTAAAGCAAGCATTGCTCTATTAATAAAACAATAAGGCAGCTAAGAAGAGGAAGAGATAGGAAGCAAAGAGAGAGAGAGGGGGCTGCACTGCTTGCGCCATGATCAACTGTATTATGAGCAATCTTATTAACTCGGGAGGGAATGGATCACTGCAATATGACTTTAATCCCATCCTACTCAATCAGATATGCACTAGGAACAAATACATGCATATTAACTGTACATACATGCTACTGATTTACAACACATTGTACATAAGCTAGAGCCATGCCACCTTTTTACTGTTAAAAACTAAACTGTCCCCAACCCTCTCCTACTGTTAACATAAGCTATAGGTGATTAATTGATTGTGGCCCTTTTTAGAGATTCCCATGTCGAATTGATGTTTGTTTGGGAAGCAGGTTTGTATCGCAAACATGGTGGAGATGGTCAATTCAGTCAAAGCCGGGAAGGAAGCCACAATCAGTTTATCACAGGCAAAAATGACACATATAGCAACAGGAGGAAAGAAAACACATTGCGATAACAAACAGTAATTAAAGTAGCTATATCTGGGTTAAGACATTGCACTACGACAACAAAGCCACATGCCAAGCTAAAAGGTGAAAGGTCATAGTACCAGGTCAAAGGTTGCGTCGAGGGGTCGCTTCAGTGATTTGACAGCCGACTGAGTCTTAATTAGCAGGCAGCGAGCACATGATGGCAATGGGCCAAATGGGGTTCAAGCGCATTAACATAAACCAGCAAGCAGAGGTGCATCATGGGGGCAGCAGTGCAGTTTGGGTAGGTGAGAAAAAAAAACAAATAAAAAAACAAATCATTGGAATGCAGTATACAAGGGGATAACAGGACTAGGGCATGCACAGTGTGTACACACTACAGTACTATGGCTGAGAGCTACAGTACAGTACATGGTTATGAGTTCAATAATGGTCTAGCTAAATCAAATACTGTGAAAAGATGTCAACTATAATAAAATGGATTGTTCACTGTCATTACTTCAAAACACTGGGCATTGAGTGATATGATCACAATTTATACAAACTATAACTTATGAAGCATTCATAAACCTTTTATAAGGTCTACATAAATGCTTGATTAATCATTTATAAGCAAATGTCATACTTTATGAAGGGTAGTATAGGGTTTATACGACATCTGGCATAGCACCAGATGTAAGGACCTGTTATATCACCTTTATATAGCGTGACATTTGCTTATAAATTATTATGAAGCATCTATGCAGGCCTTATAAAGGTTTTATGAAGCCTTTATTAAGAAATATGAGCTATAGAATGTTTAAAGTGTGACAAGTTAAACGATCAAATAGCAATACACTGTGTCACATTACAATGATTATACACCACAACGTTAGTTTTTTGTTCTTCATACAAAGCATGGCAAATACTAAGAACAATAGACAAGTGTTACAGTGCTAGTTTAGCTGTGGATGTTCAGCTAGAGAGGAATGACCATTGTTATATTAGACTTAGACTGCAGTCAGGTAAGCACATTGAATGCATTGAATGTCAAGAGGAACCTATGCAGGGGAAGCACACATTGAGACAGAGGATGTAGATACAGATACGATCAGTCAGATCAGCTAAACGCCATCAGGCAGAGAAAAGGACTGAGCCATATAATATAATAGAGACGTTACCTGTAGGCACAGATCTAAGATCAATTTCTCTGCTTACCCTCCCCAAATCCTAACCATATCCATTGCAACGTCAAAACACATAACTGACCTTAGATGCGTGTCTACGGGCAGCTTCATCCTACTGTGTGTATTTCCTCATTCCTACTATGCGACTTTTTCCTAGAGGATCCAAGATGGTGGACTACTCACCATGGCTGCGGCGGCAGTGGCCTGGTTCACCTGATGCTGTGCAGCCTTGATCTTGGCCTGCAGGTGGGCTGGAGGGTGGAAGTACTTGCACTTCTCCCTGGAGCAGCGGCCCTTGATGTAGTCCATACACACGGTGACCGTGTTGTCGTTGGTGTCAATCATGGTGCTGTCGGAGGGGTGGGAGAAGCGGCAGTCGTTCTCCCCCCGGGAGCAGTTACCCCGCTGGTACTCACGACACACCTGGCGAGGGGGAGGGGTGGTGGGGGGAGGGATGAATAAATGGATATACATTGATACACACTAGCTCTGTTTCCATCCAATTGGCAACAGGTGTGCCAAGCTTGTAGCATCATACCCAAGAAGACTCGAGGCTGTAATCGCTGCCAACGGTGCTTCAACAAAGGTGCGTCCCCTAACCCTCCCATCCTCCTCCCCTATTGGAGCAAACTAATGGACAACAACAGTTAGACTTCTACTTCCAGCTTATAAAAAAATAAATAAAAAATAGTTATATTTTGTTTGTTTTTAGTCCCATCCTTCAGCTACCCTCAACCCCTCATATCTATCTCTGAAGATCATCCAGTTTTGATTTCTATTTGCCATATATTTTTCAACTGTGCTGTGATGATTCACAAAAGTTCTGAACCTTACTATTCTCATAGTTTCTAAAGATTGTAAATTAAAGATAAACATTTTTGCTAAGAGTATTATTATATTATTGATCGAGTGACTAGCAGTGCTATTTGCAGAGTTAGCTCCAGGTAAATGTTGCAATATGGACAGTACCAAAACAAATGATCTATTGATTCTGTCTCTTTGCAGCAAAATCTGCTGAGCTGGGGTGGTTGTATCCCCATATATATATATATATATATATATATATATATATATATATATATATATATATATATAATATTCTATTGGTTGCAAGAATTTTGAATAATAATTTAAATTGAAAAATTATACGTTTTGAATCCGGCGTCATTTTGTGTATCAGTTCATTACATTTGACATTTTAGTCATTGAGCAGACACTCTTATCCAGAGCAGACACTCTTAGTCAGTGCATAAATTTTTCATACTTCATAAACCATGTGCCATGGAATTGGTACATTGAAAATCTCCTCCCAACTGTTTTGCAATCTGTATGGCACAGCTGTCCATTTTTTGGTCCTTTAATTAAACTGGTATACTTTTTTATTTATCACAATTTTCTTTAACCAATTTTGGTATTTAATACAGGGCCAACAGACAAGTTTCTTACTTTCTCCCCCTTCCACTTGTCTCTTCCATTTTTGCGGTAATGCTGCAATTAGTTGGTTGTAATTTTGGATAGAGCAGACATTTCCATATATTTTTGCTAGCTGCATGTGTGAGATAACTCCACCAGTCCGATTTATGATATAATTTACAAAGATAATCCCGATTTAAAACATGTTTACCAAAAATACTGTTTTTTAAAATCAATTAGTACAGTTGAAGTCGGAAGTTTATAATAATAATATGCCATTTAGCAGACGCTTTTATCCAAAGCGACTTACAGTCATGCGTGCATACATTATTTTATTTTTTTGTGTATGGGTGGTCCCGGGGATCGAACCCACTACCTTAGCGTTACAAGCGCCGTGCTCTACCAGCTGAGCTACAGAGGACCAGTTTACATACACTTAGGTTGGAGTCATTAAAACTTGTTTTTCAACCACTCCACAAATTTCTTGTTAACAAACTATAGTTTTGGCAAGTCAGTTAGGACATCTACTTTGTGCATGACACAAGTAATTTTTCCAACAATTGTTTACAGACAGATTATTTCACTTATAATTCACTGTATCACAATTCCAGTGTGTCAGAAGTTTACATACACTAAGTTAACTTGTCACACTTTAAACAGCTTGGAAAATTCCAGAAAATTATGTCATGACTTTAGAAGCTTCTGATAGGCTAATTGACATCATTTGAGTCAATTGGAGGTGTACCTGTGGATGTATTTCAAGGCCTACTTTCAAACTCAGTGCCTCTTTGCTTGACATCATCGGAAAATCAAAAGAAATCAGCCAAGACCTCAGAAAAAAAATGTAGACCTCCTCAAGTCTGGCTCATCCTTGGGAGCAATTTCCAAACGCCTGGAGGTACCACGTTCATCTGTACAAACAATAGTACGCAAGGATAAACACAATGGGACCACGCAGCCGTCATACCGCTCAGGAAGGAGACGTTTTCTGTCTCTTAGAAGTAAACGTACTTTGGTGCGAAAAGTGCAAATCAATCCGAGAACAACAGTAAAGGACTTTGTGAAGATGCTGGAGGAAACAGGTACAAAAGTATCTATATCCACAGTAAAACGAGTCCCATATCGTCATAACCTGAAAGGCCGCTCAGCAAGGAAGAAGCCACTGCTCCAAAACCGCCATAAAGAAGCCAGACTACGGTTTGCAACTGCATATGGGGACAAAGATCGTACTTTTTGGAGAAATGTCCTCTGGTCTGATGAAACAAAAATAGAACTGTTTGGCCATAATGACCATCGTTATGTTTGGAGGAAAAAGGGGGTTGCTTGCAAGCCGGAGAACACCATCCCAACCGTGAAGCACGGGGGTGGCAGCATCATGCTGTGGGGGTGCTTTGCTGCAGGAGGGACTGGTGCACTTCACAAAATAGATGTCATCATGAGGAATGAAAATGATGTGGATAAATTGAAGCAACATCTCAAGACATCAGTCAGGAAGATAAAGCTTGGTCGCAAATGGGTCTTCCAAATGGACAATGACCCCAAGTATACTTCCAAAGTTGTGGCAAAATGGCTTAAGGACAACAAAGTCAAGGTATTGGAGTGGCCATCACAAAGCCCTGATCTCAATCCTATAGGAAATTTGTGGGCAGAACTGAAAAAGCGTGTGCGAACAAGGAGGCCTACAAACCTGACCCAGTTACACCAGCTCTGTCAGGAGGAATGGGCCAAAATTCACCCAACTTATTGTGGGAAGCTTGTGGAAGGCTACCCAAAACATTTGACCCAAGTTAAACAATTTAAAGGCAATGCTACCAAATACTAATTGAGTGTATGTAAACGTCTGACCCACTGGGAATGTGATGAAAGAAATAAAAGCTGAAATAAATAATTCTCTCTACTATTATTCTGACATTTCACATTCTTAAAATAAAGTGGTGATCCTAACTGACCTAAAACAGGGAATCTTTACTAGGATTAAATGTCAGGAATTGTGAAAAACTGAGTTTAAATGTATTTGGCTAAGATGTATGTAAACCTCTGACTTCAACTGTATATTTGAGTTTAACCATAATATTTGTTGTAATATTTATTCTGTCTTTTCTGGGGGATTACACTGATATTGCAACCAACTGTTTATGGCTTGTTTTAATAATATATATATAGTTTGGAGATTATTTCATTTTCAAATAACCGAAAATGAGAGGTTGTAATCTGAATAATGGGGGAAAAGGCCATTCTTGAAACCGGGGTGAGCCATTCATTCTAATCTGCTAGAGAACCAGTTTGGATTTAAGTATAGCTTTTGTATGACTGAAGATTTTGTGGGATGTCGAATGCTTTAATATTTAATAATTTATTTCTGGATATGAATACTGAGTATGTCTACTTCACCATTAGACCATTGTACACAGTAATGTAAAATGTGTATTTTTTAGTGGTCCAATACAGTGGGGGAAAAAAGTATTTAGTCAGCCACCAATTTTGCATGTTCTCCCACTTAAAAAGATGAGAGAGGCCTGTAATTTTCATCATAGGTACACGTCAAGTATGACAGACAAATTGAGATTTTTTTTCTCCAGAAAATCACATTGTAGGATTTTTTATGAATTTATTTGCAAATTATGGTGGAAAATAAGTATTTGGTCACCTACAAACAAGCAAGATTTCTGGCTCTCACAGACCTGTAACTTCTTCTTTAAGAGGTTCCTCTGTCCTCCACTCGTTACCTGTATTAATGGCACCTGTTTGAACTTGTTATCAGTATAAAAGACACCTGTCCACAACCTCAAACAGTCACACTCCAAACTCCACTATGGCCAAGACCAAAGAGCTGTCAAAGGACACCAGAAACAAAATTGTAGACCTGCACCAGGCTGGGAAGACTGAATCTGCAATAGGTAAGCAGCTTGGTTTGAAGAAATCAACTGTGGGAGCAATTATTAGGAAATGGAAGACATACAAGACCACTGATAATCTCCCTCGATCTGGGGCTCCACGCAAGATCTCACCCCGTGGGGTCAAAATGATCACAAGAACGGCGAGCAAAAATCCCAGAACCACACGGGGGGACCTAGTGAATGACCTGCAGAGAGCTGGGACCAAAGTAACAAAGCCTACCATCAGTAACACACTACGCCGCCAGGGACTCAAATCCTGCAGTGCCAGACGTGTCCCCCTGCTTAAGCCAAATTGACCCACAACATAACAGGAGGGTTAAGCCAGTACATGTCCAGGCCCGTCTGAAGTTTGCTAGAGTGCATTTGGATGATCCAGAAGAGGATTGGGAGAATGTCATATGGTCAGATGAAACCAAAATAGAACTTTTTGGTAAAAACTCAACTCGTCGTGTTTGGAGGACAAAGAATGCTGAGTTGCATCCAAAGAACACCATACCTACTGTGAAGCATGGGGGTGGAAACATCATGCTTTGGGGCTGTTTTTCTGCAAAGGGACCAGGACAACTGATCCGTGTAAAGGAAAGAATGAATGGGGCCATGTATCATGAGATTTTGAGTGAAAACCTCCTTCCATCAGCAAGGGCATTGAAGATGAAACGTGGCTGGGTCTTTCAGCATGACAATGATCCCAAACACACCGCCCGGGCAACGAAGGAGTGGCTTCGTAAGAAGCATTTCAAGGTCCTGGAGTGGCCTAGCCAGTCTCCAGATCTCAACCCCATAGAAAATCTTTGGAGGGAGTTGAAAGTCCGTGTTGCCCAGCGACAGCCCCAAAACATCACTGCTCTAGAGGAGATCTGCATGGAGGAATGGGCCAAAATACAAGCAACAGTGTGTGAAAACCTTGTGAAGACTTACAGAAAACGTTTGACCTGTGTCATTGCCAACAAAGGGTATATAACAAAGTATTGAGAAACTTTTGTTATTGACCAAATACTTATTTTCCACCATAATTTGCAAATAAATTCATTAAAAATCCTACAATGTGATTTTCTGGATTTTTTTTCCTCATTGTGTCTGTCATAGTTGACGTGTACCTATGATGGAAATTACAGGCCTCTCTCATCTTTTTAAGTGGGAGAGCTTGCACAATTGGTGGCTGACTAAATACTTTTTTTCCCCACTGTACGTAATATAATATACTCATCATAATTTGGTTGTAATCCAAAGAGGTTAGAACAATTATCTAGATCCTCTATGAGGCTGTGGAGGGATCCAAATTGTGGATTTAAAAGAAAACATGAATCATCAGTGTACAATGGCACATTTTGTTTTTAAGCACTTGATTTCTAGCCCCTTGATATTATTGTTGGACCTGATTATAATAGCTAACATTTCGATGGCCATAATAAATAGATATGCCGATAGTGGACAACCTTGTTTTACTCCTCTTGACCATTTAATAATTTCTGAGAAGTAGCCATTATTTACTATTTTACACCTAGGGTTACTATACGTAACTTTAACCCATTGTATAAGAGATTCTCCAAAATTGAGTATTCCAGGCATTTATATATAAATTCCAGTCGTACTTTATCTAAAGCCCTTTCGAAGTCAGCTATGAATACCAGGCCTGGTTTCCCTTATTTTTCATAGTGTTCTATTGTTTACAGTACTTGTCTCATATTATCTCCAATGTATTGTCCATGTAAAAAACCTGTCTGATTAGGATGAATAATATCTGACAATATCTTTTTGATTCTATGCACTATGCATTTTGCTAGAATATTTGCATCACAACACTGAAGTGTAAGGGGCCTCCAATTTTTTTAATGGACTGTATCTTTATATTTACCACCTAGGTCCTGTTTCAGTAATAGTGAAATCAGACTTTGTTGAGTATCTGATAATCTACCATTTTATAGGTGTGGTTAAAACATGCTAATAACGGTCCTCTGAGTACATCAAAAAAGGTTTGATATAATTCAACTGGTATGCCATCCAGCCCTGGAGTTTTCCCGGACTTAAAGGCTTTAATTGCATCAAGAAGTTCCTCCTCTGTAATTTGGCTTTCACATGAGTCTTTCTGTACAGTTGTTAATTTTACATTATTAATAGAACAAAAATCCTTACAATTAACTTCGGTTAGTGGAGATGGAGGAGACTGAAACGAAAACATATGCTTAAAGTACTAAATCATTAACCACATAGCAACAGATGTGGAATATATACACACACTCTCGCAACCCTTCCCCCACAAACAACCACAAGCTCAGATGTTCAACACTTGTTCCATCTCCGAGCCCAACTCAAGAGAATACTTGATATGCGAATGCATATACAGGTGTAGCTGTTTGAGAAGGCATGCAACATTGAGATTTGATTAACCAATGTCAAGTCCTAGCTGATGGAGCTCAGATACACCCCTTTCCCCTGAAACACACACACACACACTGGTTCCTCGTTGTAACCATTTTCCCAAGCATCTCTGAGCAGTCAGACCTTTTGAATAATTTGCCCCCTCTCTGATAGTCCGAGTGTGACCCCCTCCCAATGGGTTACTGCAGATAGTGTTGCAGGTACAAGGTCGTCAAAGTTCTCATTAGCAGCTTTGAGAAAGTCCTTGTATATTATGCTCACCCACCCGGTGGCTTTGGCTTTGTTGGACCAACCCTGCCAGGCAGGCTCAGACTCTTGAGGGGGTGGTCTCTGACCGCTTTTATCTTTCGGTCTTGGCTGCGTATAGGTTACTTGCAACATAATGTTTGTTTGCAACATTAGGTCTGTTTTCATAAAGAAGTTAAATACGCTTCGTGTTTTGTTTCCTTGCCACGATACTAATGAGTATTGTCCCGGCCCTAACTGCAGCCAACTTTTTATTCACCATAACAGGAAAACTAACACATTACAAGGTATTTATTTACAAATGATTTACAAGTATGGAGAGCTGCTAACTTACTGTTTGTGAATGTGAAGAAATGAAAGCAGTGCAATGCATTCTGTCCTATCGGAGGAATTTAGAGCTTGACCAGTGCTGCTTGGTGCATCAGGTTACAACGGTGGCAACAACAGGGTCAAATTAGAATGTCTCTTGCTCAGTTGCCGCATAAGTAACAGCTATATAAAAGGTGAATGCCGACAAAAAAGAGGTAAAGATGTTTGTTTTTTTAAAGGGGATCTGTCTGCATTTATAAAATTGCACCAAAACTTCCTGTTTTCATCACAACTTTCGTGATATTTTTTTATACGGTAAGACTTTACTCGCATAAAAACTGTAGATGGAAACGTGGTTACAGTCATAGGCATTGAGCAAAGTCACTGTGTCTTGGACATGGCATTTGAAAGGCAGCAGAGGGCAGCACTGGCTTTACGTTAACACAGCATGTTGTTTTTTATTTTATATTTTCTTCATTTAACTAGGCAAGTCAGTTAAGAACAAATTCTTATTTACAATGACGGCCTACACCGGCCAAACCCGGACGCTGGGCCAATTGTGCACCGCCCTATGGGACTCCTAATCACGGCCGGTTGTGATACAGCCTGGAATCGAACCATGAAGGTCTGTAGTGACACCTCAAGCACTGAGATGCAGTGCCTTAGACCGCTGCACCACTCGGTCTAAGGCACTGGTCTAGAATCAGCACAGGCTGCTGGAGCAAGGGTAGGGGGGGCTGAGTGTCTGTCCGTCCGAATCTCTTACCTCCAGTCTGTCTGTCCTCATTAGTTTCTGTGCAGCTGCGGCTGCAGCATTGGGGACCTGGCCGTGGTTGGGGTGGCCCGCCATGAGGACCTGTGGGCTGGGCATGATCTCTGCCTGCATCAGGCCAGGCGATACCGGGCCCAGGTACGGGTTGAAGGCTGCTGCCGCCGCGCTGGCATTGGTGGCCAGGCCTGGTGCCATAGAGAACATAGGCTGCAGGCAGGAGGAGGGGGCGGGCAGATAGAGACCCGGGTCAAAGGTGAGAGGTTATATTTCCTGGTAGGTCAAATGTTAAATGTACTGTATTTAATGTTATGTGGCTTATCTAAACTGATACCAAATTCCCTATATAGTGCACTGCTTAAGGGCTCTGCATGGTCAGAAGTAGAGCACTATATAGGGAATAGGGTGTCATTTGAGATGCAGCCGATTGTAAGTGTTCTCGTAATTACTTGATGTAAACTGAACCTGTTGCTGTCTTGGACCAGGTCATAGAGACTAACCTGGATTGGCAAAGGTTGAATAAAATGAAGAGAGGTTTCAGGTCCTGGGATTCGGTCACAGTTCAGTTATATTCTGTTCCACTCACGTGTGTGTGTGTGTGTGTGTGTGTGTGTGTGTGTGTGTGTGTGTGTGTGTGTGTGTGTGTGTGTGTGTGTGTGTGTGTGTGTGTGTGTGTGTGTGTGTGTGTGTGTGTTTGTGTGTGTGTGTGTGTGTGTGTGTGTGTGTGTGTGTGTGTGTGTGTGTACATACGCGTGTGTGCACATTTGTGCATGTGCGTGTTCTCTCCCCATTGTTTATGCGTGTGACTTCACATGCCTACTGTATCTGTGTGCTGTCTCACCATAGGCTGTAGCTGTGTGCCGGGCATCATGGCGTTTGCGAGCTGCATCTGTTGGGCCAGCATGGCCATGTTCTTCTGTTGGATGAGGTTGTTCCTGCCGTTGATCTCCAGCTGGGTCTTTAGGTGGCCAGGAGGGTGCAGGTACTTACAGTTCTCCCTGGAACAACGGCCCTGGGAGAGGGATAGGGGGGGGGGGGGGGGGGGAAAGCAAGAGAGAGAAGCAACGTGTCAAAGTAAAGTAAGTTGATTCAGATTCAGACAGCACTGCCCTTACTTTAAAGATGTCCTCCAGTGATTCTTGAAAAGCGATATCCCACGTATAAATACAGTAAAGTACAGACAACAAACTTCAAGGAGTAGGGCCAGTATGAAAAATGTATGCACTCACTAATTGTAAGTCGCTCTGGATAAGAGTGTCTACTTAATGACTAAAATGTCAATTGGATCACTAAAAATTCAAAGAGTTGGTCTGATGGAAGAGGGCTCCGGGCAGCTGAGCGGAAATGGAGGAAAACTAGACTCCCTGCGGACCTGTCATCTTTTCACTCCCTCCTCTCTACATTCTCTTCCTCTGTTTCCGCTGCTAAAGCCACTTTCTACCACTCTAAATTTCAAGCCTCTGCCTTTAACCCTAGGAAGCTCTTTGCCACCTTCTCCTCCCTGCTGAATCCTCCTCCTCCTCCCCCTCCCTCCTCCCTCTCTGTGGATGACTTCGTCAACCATTTTGAAAAGAAGGTTGACGACATCCGATCCTCATTTATTAAGTCAAATGACACCGCTGGTCCTGCTCACACTGCCCTACCCTATGCTTTGACTTCTTTCTCCCCTCTCTCTCCAGATGAAATCTTGCAACTTGTGACGGCCGGCCGCCCAACAACCTGCCCGCTTGACCCTATCCCCTCTCTTCTCCAGACCATTTCCGAAGACCTTCTCCCTTACCTCATTTCGCTCATCAACCCATCCTTGACCTTCAAGAGAGCGAGAGTTGCACCCCTCCTCAAAAAACCTACACTCGATCCCTCCGATGTCAACAACTACAGATCAGTATCCCTTCTTTCTTTTCTCTCCAAAACTCTTGAGCGTGCCGTCTCTAGCCAACTCTCCTGCTATCTCTCTCAGAATGACCTTCTTGATCCTAACCAGTCAGGTTTCAAGACTGGTCATTCAACGGAGGCTCTCCGCACTGCTAAAGCTAACTCTCTCTCCTTTGCTCTTATCCTTCTAGACCGATCCGCTGCCTTTGATACTGTGAACCATCAGATCCTCCTCTCCACCCTCTCCGAGTTGGGCATCTCCGGTGCTGCTCACTCTTGGATTGCGTCCTACCTGACAGGTCGCTCCTACCAGGTGGCGTGGCGAGAATCTGTCTCCGCACCACGTGCTCTCACCACTGGTGTCCCCCAGGGCTCAGTTCTAGGCCCTCTCCTAAGTCACTTGGCTGAACCTCGGCAAGACGGAGCTGCTCTTCCTCCCGGGGAAGGACTGCCCGCTCCATGATCTCGCCATCACGGTTGACAACTAAATTGTGTCCTCCTCCCAGAGTGCAAAGAACCTTGGCGTGACCCTGGACAACACCCTGTCGTTCTCCGCTAACATCAAAGCGGTGACCCGATCCTGCAGGTTCATGCTCTACAACATTCGCAGAGTACGACTTTACCTTACACAGAAAGCGGCACAGGTCCTAATCCAGGCACTTGTTATCTCCCGTCTGGATTACTGCAACTCGCTGTTGGCTGGGCTCCCTGCCTGTGCCATTAAACCCCTACAACTTATCCAGAACGCTGCAGCCCATCTGGTGTTCAACCTTCCCAAGTTCTCTAATGTCACCCCGCTCCTCCGCACACTCCACTGGCTTCCAGTTGAGGCTCGCATCTACTACAAGACCATGGTGCTTGCCTACAGAGCTGTGAGGGGAACGGCACCTCCTACCTTCAGGCTCTGATCAGACCCTAAACCCAAACGAGGGCACTACGTTCATCCACCTCTGGCCTGCTAGCCCCCCTACCCTTATGGAAGTACAGTACCCGCTCCGCCCAGTCAAAGCTATTCGCTGCTCTGGCACCCCAATGGTGGAACAAGCTCCCCCACGGCGCCAGGACAGCGGAGTCACTGACCACCTTCCGGAGACACTTGAAACCCTACCTCTTTAAGGAATACCTGGAATAGTATAAAGTAATCCTTCTTCCCCCACCCCCCATAAAAAATTGAAATATATATTTAAAAAATTTAAATTAAAATAAAATAAGGTGGTTGTCCCACTGGCTATCATAAGTTGAATGCACCAATTTGTAAGCGTCTGCTAAATGATGTAAATGTAAATGTAAATGATGGGAATCAATGATGTCATCAGCCTCGCCCCTAGCTTGAGGAACAATAGAGAACAAAAGAGGAAAGGAACCCCCCCACATGTCATGACTTACCTGGACCACCTATTGAGATGTGCCTTTTGTTAAGGAAATCAGGTGTTAAATGAGGTGAAAAGGAGACTGGAGTGCCACTTTCAACTGACGACTGTGCGTTTCTGTGTGTGTGTGTGTGTGTGTGCAGTGTGTGTGTGATATGCTGGGAGCTGTTTATAGCTGCACGCCCTTAACCCTGTTTCACCCTAGGTCTAGATATGCCTGGCACTAACTAATTGTTAAGGGCTCTCTATTTCTGCTCTACCCTGTGGGACAAAAATGTGTGTGTGTGTTTCTTCGTGCATATGTGCGTGCGTGTGTGAATGTGTGTCTTCGTGCATACTTGCACGAGGTGTGTGTGTCTGCATACGTGTGTTTGTTCAGGTCAGAAGAGGGTCTCTGTGGCCCTGATGGACTGCTATCCAGACATCCAGCTAGGCTACATGTCTGACAGGAGATATAAATACATTTCACTCATATGATACATAGATATTGTATCACAGGGCAATATGAGGTCAAACTTCAAAGCGTCAGTGCCAAGAGATAATTAACTAAGAGAGATCGTTTTATGCTCTCTGCTATGAATACACACTGCCAAGAAGTCGCAGAAATCCTGGTGGACTGGGGGCAGGATAGTTCAAGTGTGACACACAGGTGTCCACACACAGGCACACACACACTGGAGTCATGTTCATGTAACAGGTGGCAGACACACGCCCTGTGCTTTATAACAGATATTTATTTACTGACATTCCATGGGCACAGCTGAGCCGACTGGCCGAGGCAGCAGGGTCCACCCAGTGGGCCCACACTGGTTGAATCAACGTTGTTTACACATAATTTAAATGAAATTACATTGAACCAACGTGGAATAGGCATTGAATTTACATCTGTGCCCAGTGGGCACGCTCAATCACAAATAGAGCTGCCGCCTGGGTGCTTCTCAATAGTCTAACATAGATGCCTCTCTCTGTCTCCTTTCCTCTATTCGCACTGACATGAAAGACTTGGACAGGTCAAACGAAGCAAATTCCTGGCGGGCATTCTCCATTTTGCTTTCATCCTGCATTTTCAGATCAGTGGAGAGGAAGGAAAGGAGATATGGAGAGGAAATCAGGTTGGACAATTGAGATGCACCCTCGTTACTCAGATACAGGCAGGAACTGCGGGACTCTAACCCGGACGCTTATAAGAAATCCCGCTATGCCCTCTAACGAACCATCAAACAGGCAAAGAGTCAATACCGGACTAAGATTGAATCGTACTACACCGGCTCTGACACTCGTCGGATGTGGCAGGGCTTGAAAACTATTACAGACTACAAAAGGAAGCACAGCCGCGAGCTGCCAGATGAGCTACATAACTTCTATGCTCGCCTCGAGGCAAGAAACACTGAAGCATGCATGAGAGCACCAGCTGTTCCGGATGACTATGTGATCACGCTCTCCGTAGCCAATGTGAGTAAGACTTTTAAGCAGGTCATCATTCACAAGGCCGCAGGGCCAGACGGATTACCAGGACGTGTACTCCGAGCATGTGCTGACCAACTGGCAAGTGTCTTTACTGACATTTTCAACATGTCCCTGACTGAGTCTGTAATACCAACATGTTTCAAGCAGACCACCATAGTCCCTGTGCCCAAGGACACTAAGATAATCTGCCTAAATGACTACCGACACGTAGCACTCACGTCTGTAGCCATGAAGAGCTTTGAAAGGCTGGTCATGGCTCACATCAACACCATTATCCCAGAAACCCTAGACCCACTCCAATTTGCATACCGCCCAAACAGATCCATAGATTATGCAATCTCTATTGCACTCCACACTGCCCTTTCCCACCTGGACAAGAGGAACACCTACGAGAGAATGCTGTTCATTGACTACAGCTCAGCGTTCAACACAATAGTGCCCTCAAAGCTAACCACTAAGCTAAGGATCCTGGGACTAAACACCTCCCTCTGCAACTGGATCCTGGACTTCCTGACGGGCCACCCCCAGGTGGTAAGGGTAGGTAACAACACATCTGCCACGCTGATCCTCAACACGGGGGCCCCTCAGGGGTGCGTGCTCAGTCCCCTCCTGTACTCCCTGTTCACCCATGACTGCATGGCCAGGCACGACTCCAACACCATCATTAAGTTTGCTGACGACACAACAGTAGTAGGCCTGATCACCGACAACGATGAGACAGCCTATAGGGAGGAGGTCCGAGACCTGGCCGTGTGGTGCCAGCATACAACCTCTCCCTCCATGTGATCAAGACAAAGGAGATGATTGTGGACTACAGGAAAAAAAAGAGGACTGAGCACCCCCCATTCTCATCGACGGGGCTGTAGTGGAACAGGTTGAGAGCTTCAAGTTCCAACAAACTATCATGGTCCAAACACACCAAGACAGCCTATTCCACCTCAGGAGACTGAAAAGATTTGGCATGGGTCCTCAGATCCTCAAAAGGTTCTACAGCTGCACCATCGAGAGCATCCTGACTGGTTGCATCACCGCCTGGTATGGCAACTGCTCAGCCTCCGACCGCAAGGCACTACAGAGGGTAGTGCGTACGGCCCAGTACATCACCGGGGCCAAGCTTCCTGCCATCCAGGACCTCTATACCAGGCGGTGTCAGAGGAAGGCCCTAAAAATTGTAAAAGACTCCAGCCACCCTAGTCATAGACTGTTCTCTCTGCTACCGCACGGCAAGCGGTACTGGAGCGCCAAGTGTAGGTCCAAAAGGCTTCTCAACAGCTTCTACCCCCAAGCCATAAGACTCCTG